TATTACTCAGCAGAAACAGAAGCATGAGGCAGCCATGCAAAGGTTTTAGATTTTACACACACCATGAGCCACATTTTATGTGTCATTCATCTCAGAAGTGTGAGAAGCTTTTGTTTAACCATCTTTCCCACTAAAGGCTACCTTTTCCCTCTGTTTTAGTGTACTGTGGAAGATGATGAGGGTTAAAGTGATGTTCTTGGCAATATTTATCTCCAAACGATCCCATCTTTCATTTATGCAAGTCCTTGGGAACAGTGATGAAACAGGCCTTGAAAACCTAGGCTTATGGACATGAGCTCTTCCATCAGGAAATACTAGGGGTAAACAATGGACAGGAAGAAGAGGCCTCTCTCCACTGTTCTGCTAATGCTCCTCTAGGCTCTTCTAGCTAAACATATAAAAGAAAAAGATGCAGAGAAATGCCTGGCACAGAATTGGAGCTAGCACTCTAGTGCTTGAGATGTTGACAGCATTCAAGCTGATTAATTAATATCAGTAAAGCCCACTGAAAAAGGTTAAAAGAGCACTTTAACATGCAGTGATATTATCATGATCATTAGGATGGTATATTTCTGTCTTCACTAATGTATCTTCTTTTATCAGCTCAATAAACTGATGTAGGAGTGCAATTTTTCAATTACATTTTCATAAACAGATGGCAGAATTTAACAAATTAATGTTTAGAATAATGGTACAGTTATGAGGCTTGTACTTTTGCATTTTTTGCTCTGAAGCTTTTGATACCAAATCCCAAATAATGCCGATCTCCTTAGCTCAGAGTATTTTCATATTCCTAGGTCGCTGTATAATGACCTCTGATCTGATTGTTTCAATGTGGAGAGATGTAGGTGACTGTAGGTAGTAAGCTTAATTTATTAAATAATAGGGATATTAATCTGTTTGTCAAATTTCATAGACATTTTAGTGAAAGCTTAACCTCCCTGATGATTATCCTTTTGAACTAAAACACAGTGTTGCGGGGCAGAAATCATACTTAAGTGCTATTGCAGAACGCATCCTTTGTTCCTAAATTTTACTCCTAACAAGGGCTAAATGATGCCCCATTTATAACATTTTCAATTCGCAGAGTCCACATGTGGCCACATCCTAGGATTGCCAGACACAGTGTACATTTCAGAAAGCTAAACCTCATAAATCTCCAGAAATTCCTCACATCTATTATGTTTACCTTCTGCTGCTGATGAGCCTGTTGGGCTCTGTACAGAGGAAATTACAAGCGCTCCAGAAGATTTGGCAAGAAGATGCTAGAAGAAACAATGGGCAAAAAAAAAAAAATCTTAACTGAAACATCACATTCAGCTTTGGCTACCATTTACATATTTGAGATTACAGCTAGTAAAATGGAAATTCCATTGGAATGGAATAAATTGTTTTCAAAAATCCCGATCTGATTAGTGTTAGTTATGTCTGAAATTAAATGTGTTAAGCTACACTGAGTGTAACTTATGGAACTCAGCTGAAGTCTAACATTCATACTGAAATTCAGTCTGTTTAAACACTTTTGCAATTAAGAACAAAAGACAGTTGTATCCAAGAGCTTTTTTTGCCTATCATCTTCTTGCTCATTTCTATTAATCTATATCACAAAATGTCTTCCTTTACTTAATAGATGTTTGGAGACTGTTGTAACAGCTGCTAACTAGTAAGGAAATGCCAGCAGAAATATTTTATGGTCATACGTTTAAATACCACTGGAAATTGTTTATAGTTAATGCCAACTGAAATGCTTATGTTCCAGGCATATTTTGCATAGTGATCAAAAATTAGTAGTTCAAAAATCTCCCCACTTAATCCATGACAGGGCCAAGGGCCAAAGAAAAGTGAATTAGTTAATCAGGGAAAGAAAATGAAGTTACTAATTTTGAAATTTTTTTGTTAAATAAAATAATTTTTAGCTGTGTTACACATCCACACACACACATCCTTGCACAACCACAAAAAAACGCTGAAATAAATACCTGGAGTTTAGAAATGCCATTGGAAAAGAGGGAAATCTATCCTGAAATTACCTGCACAGATAATGCCTTGATGTGCTCTTCCCCAGACCAGTGCCCTCCTCCCTGACAACAGCAGGGGTGGAAGGGCTCAAGCCCCACCTCAGCTACTGAGCACCCAGAAGGATGAGGTCACAGGTGAGGATTTTTTTCAGAAACTTGCATGGAAACAATCTTACAAAACTAGAAATTGTTGCTCCCATCTCTACCCAAAGGGGTAAAAGTCACAGGAAGTCTTGCTAACAAAGAAGAAGTGGAGAAATATTTTGGATTATGTATGAGCTGTATGACTGTACACCCTCCAAAAGCAAATCATAGGAGAGAACTATCAGGTTTTGGAAACTAAACAAAAGTCTGCTCTTAATCTGGTGTCTTAACCAGCTTCATAACCTTACAGTATTCCTGCTTTTAAATCATCCAGGACAAGTCCGTCTGGCTAGTGGAACAGAAATATACAGTAAACTGGTAACCTGTGATACTGAAAA